GCACTCCAGGGTGGGTAACATGAGTGAAACTCCGTCTAAAAAAAAAAAAAAAAAAAAAGATTGAAGGTAAAAATGGCATATCAAAATTATCTGCCTATTCTCTTTTGATGGTAGGATTGTAAGTGATTTTTTTTTTTGAGAGACAGCGTCTTGCTGTCACCCACACTGGAGTGCAGTGGCATAATCTCAGCTCGCCACAGCCTTGACCTCCTCAGCTCAAGTGATTCTCCCACTTCAGACTTCCAAGAAGCTGGGACTACAGGTGCGCACCCCCATGCCTGACTGATTTCTTTTGTAATTTTTGTAGAGTCGAGTTTTCACCATGTTGCCCAAGCTGGTCTTGATCTTGGGCTCAGGCAGTCTCCTGCCCTTGGCCTCCCAAAGTTCTGGAACTACAGGTGTGAGTCACTGCACCCAGCCTATAAGTGATATTTTATTTTTATTTTCTTTTTCTTTTATGGTATTTTATCTTTGTAAAAATGATATTTAAAATGCTATTTGGAGCAGTGCTAATGTTTTTCTAGGACTTTGGACTTAGAAATTTAAAGGGTAGGCCAGGCATGGTGGCTCATGCCTGTAATCCCAGCCCTTTGGAAGGCCGAGGCAGGTGGATCACGAGGTCAAGAGATCGAGACCATCCTGGTCAACAAGGTGGAACCCCGTCTCTACTAAAAATACAAAAACATTAGCTGGGCATGGTGGCGCGTGCCTGTAATGCCAGCTACTCAGGAGGTTGAGGCAGGAGAATTGCCTGAACCCAGGAGGCGGAGGTTGCAGTGAGCCGAGATGGCACCATTGCACTCCAGCCTGGGTAACAAGAGTGAAACTCGGTTTAAAAAAAAAAAAAAAAAAAATCTCTAAGGTAAATTATTGTATGAGAAAAACAAAGAGCAATAAAGTATGTGTAATATGACACCTAGTGTGAGAAGGCGGAATATGAATAGTTGCTTCCTTCTGGATATGATGCTCACACCTGTAATCCAAGGACTTTGGGAGGCTAAGGCAGAAGTATCACTTCAGACCAGGAGGTTGAGACCAGCCTAGACAACATGGGGAGACCTCCATCTCTACAAAATACAAAAATAAATAAGCTAGGTGTGTACCTGCCGAGCTACTCAGATGGCTGAAGCAGGAGGACCACTTAAGCCTGGGAGGTCAAGGTTACAGTGAGCCATGATCAAACCACTGCACTTCAGCCTGGATGACAGAGCAAGGCCCCGTCTCAAAGTAACTAAATAAAAAAATAAAAATATTTTCGGCCGAGCATGGTGGCTCACGCCTGTAATCCCAGCACTTTGGGAGGCCAAGGCGGGTGGATCACAAGGTCAAGAGATAGAGACCATCCTGGTCAACATAGTGAAACCTTGTCTCTACTAAAAATAAAGGAATTAGCTGGGCGTGGTGGCACACGCCTGTAGGCCCAGCTACTCGGGAGGCTGAGGCAGGAGAATCTCTTGAAGAACCCGGGAGGTGGAGGTTGCAGTGAGCCAAGATCATACCACTGCACTCCAGCCTGGTGACAGAGTGAGACTCTGTTTCTAAATGAATGGATGGATGGATGGATGGATGGATGGATGGATGGATGAATGAATGAATGCTTCGCTGTATAAAGAAACTCTGGAGAGCTATACAAATTCTTAATCATTCTGGTTATGGACATAGAGTTAGAATTATGACTGTGTAATATTTTTTCTGATTTTTGATTCATGTGAATATTAAGAATTGAAAATGACTTTTGAAAGTGAATTATTGAGAATTTTAGAGAAGAAACTGACCTTGTTTTCTCACAGAAGAATGTAATACCTCATGTGTATAGTAATTATTTCATTCTTTATACCTGGTATAGGCAAACGACAGCCCAAGGACCAATCTTCCCTTCCTTCTCTTTTTATAAAGAAGATTGTATTGGAATACAGCCACGTCCATTGGTGTTTATCTGCTTTTCAGCTACAGTGCCAAGCTGAGCAGTTTTAGCAGTCACCTCGTGGCTTGCAATGTTAATCTTACCCTTAACAAAAAAATATTGCTGATGTCGGCCGGGTGCGGTGGCTCAAGCCTGTAATCCCAGCACTTTGGGAGGCCAAGGCGGGTGGATCACGAGGTCAAGAGATCGAGACCATCCTGGTCAACATGGTGAAACCCCGACTCTACTAAAAATACAAAAAATTAGCTGGGCATGGTGGTGCATGCCTGTAATCCCAGCTACTCAGGAGGCTGAGGCAGGAGAATTGCCTGAACCCAGGAGGCGGAGGTTGCGGTGAGCCGAGATCGCGCCATT